GTATCAATCAGCTGTCTCTTGCACACCCCCCCACTGGGGATGTGCCTGCAACCAAGGTACATGCCCTTGACTGGAATCAAACCTGAGACCCTTGAGTCTGCCGGCTGACGCTCTATCCACTGAGCCAACTGGTCAGGGCTAACCTTGCATTTCACTTGTTACCGCTTCCCTAAACCTTTGGTCTACTGTATGATACATTCTGGGGCAGAGGAAGGATAAAGCATCAGGCATGCTTTATCGTCTTATTATTATTATTATTATTATTAATATATTTATTGATTTCAGCGGAGGAAGGAGAGAGAGAGAAACATCAATGATGAGGGAAATCATCGATTGGCTGCCTTCTGCCCACCCTCTACTGGGGATGGAGTTGGCAACCTAGGCATGTGCCTGGACTAGAAATTGACGCTCAGCCACTGAGCCACATGGGCTAGTTCCTTATTTGTTGTGCTTCTGTTCTATTTGGAGGGAATGACTTGTCAAAACATGGTGTCAGCCTGATTGAGGCTTCAAAGAAGCAGTTTCACAACCATTTCCAACTGTCACTTTTATGAACAGAAATTTGTGAAGTGTTTACAGCTTAGCTTTACACATTGTCAGATTTATTTTTTTAAATATGTTTTTATTGATTATAGAGAAGAGAGCAAGGGAGGGAAGAGAGAAAAAATTGATGTGAGAGAAAAACATCTATTGGCTGCCTCCTGCACACTCCCACCAGGGATCGAGCCCCCAGTCCCGGCAGGTGCCCTGACAAGATCAAATTGGCGACCTCCCAGGGCAAGAGATGAGCTGCACTAGACAGGGCACATTGGCTGATTCTTGTACGTGTCCTTAATGGGGATCGAACTCACATTGGATGGCACTCCAACCAATTGAGCTACCGGCCAGGGTGCTTGTCAGATTTCTTCAACACTCTCAACAGGTCCAGGAACCTCAGGCTGTCCCAGGTGTCTCATGAACATTCACTTTCAGGCTGGTTCCTCGCCTGCCTGCTTCAAAACGGATGTAGTGGGTCACTCGGAGGCATTTTCTTATGTTAGTGGGAGCGGGGGCAGCAAGCAGGGGAGATTATAGTGAGCTTGGTTGGCCTGCCCACTGGCTCTGTGTTGGGTACCCCATCGCCCTTAGAAGTGGTAGGACCCCTGTTGGCTTAGGGGAGGGGGCGTTTGCTCGCCGTGGGCTCCACTGGGTGCATTCTGGGGGCCTGGGACTTCTCTAGACCGCTCCGGGGTACCCCAGCTGTACTTCTGGGCCAGGATCCCAGGAGGCGGTAGGGCCCACGGCATCCTGAGACTCAGGCTGAACTGCTTTCCTTTAGACAATGGACACATCAAAGAGGTCATTGTGGCTGCTGAGGTGGATCCAGACGACAGTGAGATGGCAGAGGCCTCAGGCAGCCCTGAGCATCAGGGGCCTGGGCTGGCCGGGCAGGGGGAACAGGCCCAGCTCAAGCTGCTGGTGAACGAGGATGGCCGCTACGTGTGTGCGTTGTGTCACAAGACCTTCAAGACGGTGAGCCCCAGGCCTGGCTGGGTCGGCTGAGGGGACCAGCTCCTGCCCAGGGAGCTGCCTGAGCCTCGCTGCCCCTCCCCCCAGGGCAGCACCCTCAAGGCCCACACGGCCACCCACGGCAGCCGAAAGGACCACCAGTGCACGCTGTGCGGGGCCTCCTTCCGCACCAAGGGCTCGCTCGTCCGGCACCACCGGCGGCACACAGGTGAGCGAGCTGCGCGCGGGGCGCCCCCGCCTGCCCCCGGCGGAGGCTGTGGCGCCAGGCCGCCTTCTCTACCCAAAGCTGGCTCCCTCCCGCAGATGAGCGTCCCTATAAGTGTGCCAAGTGTGGAAAGAGCTTCCGGGAGTCAGGGGCACTGACCCGGCACCTCAAGTCTCTCACCCCGTGCACTGAGAAGATCCGATTCTCCATGAGCAAGGACGTGGTTGTTGGCAAAGAGGACGCGCATGCAGGTCAGCACGGCGAGGGCTCCCTGTTCCAGCCCCGGAGCTGTGCTGGCCAGGGAGGCTTCTTCACGGACTCTTCCTGGTTCTGCCTTAAAGGGCCCGGAGCCTCCGCCATGGGGACCGTTCCATCGTCACCGGCGATAGGAGAGCCCATGGAGACATCGCCCGTGATCCACCTGGTGACAGATGCCAAGGGCACTGTCATTCATGAAGTCCATGTCCAGATGCAAGAGCTTCCCCTGGGCATGAAAGCCCTGACTCCAGAGGTGGGGGCCGCCTGGGGCGTGGCCTCTGGCTGCACAGGGCTGGCTCTGTCCGGCACCGGCTCCGGTGGGAATGGGACTGACTGGGCCTGCACCCTGTCTGGTTGCAGAGGTGATGAAAGACCAATGGCTGCCCTAGATGGGGCAGGCAAGAGCAGGTGGGCGTGGACGCGGGGCTCCCGGGGGCATTCTTGAGGGAAGATACTGGGTGTGCACAGTGGTCCTGGGGCCCCTTGGATTTCTCCTGCGTGGCGGGTTCGGGTGGGTGCCATGTGCTGAGCCGCCCGGCCAACCTCCCTCCCTCCCTCCACCTCCCCCGCAGCCCCCTGCTCCCAAGGAGCGTCCCTGTTCCGGCGAGGACAGTCGGGAGAACCTGCTGCACCAGGCCATGCAGAACTCGGGCATTGTCCTTGAGCGGGTCACTGGGGAGGAGGGGGCCCTGGAACCAGTCCCTCCCGCTGCGTCCAGTGCCCAGCCCCTAGGAGATGGTCCCCCAGGACTGCCGCTGCTGGAGGTGGAGCAGGTGGAGACAGTAGGTACCTGTGCTGCCAGTGTGCTCGTTCCTGGGGGCCGCACCTTAGATGGAGCTGCTCATTACACTGGCCTGGCCGCCAGCCTCCTCGCCGTCCTCCCTGCTGTCCCTTTCTGCAGTGACTTTGTCCCTGATCTGCTTACCCCTAAGCCCATGACGGAGCCTAAAAGGGTGGGGGTACTACGGGTCTGGCCTTGGTACTGCTGGGCCCAGCCCGCAGGGGATCCTGGAAATGTGCTGTGGTCCCCCAGCAGGTGGCCAGTGAAGCCTCAGCAGTAGCCAGGACCCACCTGTGCCCTCAGTGCAGCGAAACCTTCCCGACGGCTGCCACCCTGGAGGCCCACCGAAGGAGCCACGCAGGTGGGTGGCGGGAGTGTGGGGCCCTGGTCAGTGGAGGATCTGAGTGGCCAGGGTGGTCCCTTGGGCAGAGGTGGTCAGGGCAGGCAGCAGGGAGCTGTGGGGGGCCCTTGGGGGTTGGACGTGGCCTGACATTGCCTGTGGCCCCAGGGCCGAAGCTGTTCACGTGTGTGCAGTGTGGCAAGGCCTTCCCCAAGGCCTACCTGCTCAAGAAGCACCAGGAGGTCCACGTGCACGAGCGCCGCTTCCGCTGTGGGGACTGTGGGAAGCTCTACAAGACCATCGCTCACGTCCGCGGCCACCGGCGTGTCCATTCAGACGAGCGGCCCTACCCTTGTCCCGAGTGTGGCAAGCGCTACAAGACCAAGGTGGGCCCTCCAGCCCTGACTTCTGACCCCCAGCCCTGAGCTCCCCGCTCGGGGCCAGCTCCACCGCTTGTTTCTGCCCCAGCCCTCCCCGTCACCCCTCTGCCCAGCGTTGGCTCGGACCCTCGCTGCTGGCCAGTGAGGCCCGCCCCTTCCCTGGGAAAGCCTCAGTCTTAGTGTGGACAAGGCCAGGCTGTCCTGACAGTGGGCCTCCTCAGAATGCCCAGCAGGTGCACTTCCGGACGCACCTGGAGGAGAAGCCGCACGTGTGCCCGTACTGCAGCCGCGGCTTCCGGGAGAAGGGCTCGCTGGTGCGGCACGTCCGCCACCACACGGGCGAGAAGCCCTTCAAGTGCTACAAGTGCGGCCGCGGCTTCGCCGAGCACGGCACGCTCAACCGGCACCTGCGCACCAAAGGTTGGAGCTGGTGGGGGGCAGAGGGGAGGGAGGGGAGGGGCAGCAGGAGGCCGGCCCTGACTGAGCTCCCGCCAGGGGGCTGCCTGCTGGAGGTGGAGGAGCTGCTGGTGTCTGAGGAGAGCCCCACAGCAGCTGCCGCTGTCCTGGACGAAGACCCGCACACCGTGCTGGTTGAATTCTCGTCCGTGGTGGCCGACACCCAGGAGTACATCATTGAGGTGGGTGTAGGGCAGGGCTGGGATGTGGCCCAGGGGCAGGCAGGGTTGACCTCTGTCCCTCTTTCCAGGCCACCACGGATGACGCGGAGACCAGTGAAGCTACAGAGATCATCGAGGGCACCCAGACGGAGGTGAGGGGCTGGGGGAGAGCGGGAGGGGAGGTGTGGCGCCCTCACCCATCCCTGTGGGCTGAGCTGTGAGCCACCCACAGGTGGACAGCCACATCATGAAGGTGGTGCAGCAGATCGTACACCAGGCCAGTGCCGGGCACCAGATCATTGTGCAGAATGTGACCATGGACCAGGAGGCGGGGCTGGGTCCGGAAGCAGCTGCTGCGGACACCATTACCATTGCCACCCCCGAAAGCCTGACAGAGCAGGTGGCCATGACGCTGGCTTCAGCCATCAGCGAGGGCACTGTGCTTACTGCCCGTGCGGGTGCAAACGGCACCGAACAGGCTACGGTGACCATGGTTTCGTCGGAGGACATTGAGATCCTGGAGCATGCGGGCGAGCTGGTCATCGCCTCGCCAGAGGGCCAGCTCGAGGTGCAGACTGTCATCGTCTAGCATGGATCCCACTGGGCGGGGCGGCCTCAGGGACAAGGAACCTGAGCGACCTTCCCACTCCTGCTTGGCCTGGTATGGACGAGACACGCACAGAATCCAGATGTTCAGACGTGGGCGTGTAAATAAGAGTTTTTTTGTTGCTTTACAATAAAACATGAAAACCCACCACTTGTGATATTGCGGCCGGGGCACCCTGGCAGGCTCTCCCGTGGCAGCACCTGCCTGCCCAGGCCACGCTGTTGCCTGGCCACCCCACCCAGTATTCCTGATGGGGCTGGCGACACCTTGGCTGTGTGTGGGCGTCACTGGCATGTGGACAGGCAGCCATCTGCTGGTGCCCTGCCCACTGGGATCTGTGACCCCAGCTTCCTGAGGCCCCAGGTGGTGCCCTGGGGCAAGGGACGTAGGCCAGGAGACCAGGAGCTCAATGTGCGGCAGAAACTGGTGGATGTGGGGCCGAGAATGAGGGGCTTTCCTGATGGGACTGCCTTGGTTTCCCTGAGGGGATGCAGTCCTGGGAGGGAGATTCTGGATGACCTAGTTTCCAAGGGGTGGGGATAAGAACAGGCCTGGATTAAGGACCTGGCTGGCCACCTCCCTCATTGCTCATGAAGCTCTTGGGGTGTTGGCAGGGGCTTCTGAGTCCTGATTTTGACAGACTTGGGGGCTGGAGCCTCAGGGTGGATCCCCTGCTGCCTTCCTGTCTAGGGTTTCTGTGGGAATGGGAGCCAGGAGTTCTGGCACCAACTTTGTTGAGGGGGCGGGACCCAACACAGCTGGCCCCTCCCTGGACCAGGGCCTCAAATACCTGAGTGCCCAGGCATCAGACCTTTTGTCCGACCGAGCCTTGGAGTCTGGTACCACGGACACACTCCCAGCCTGGACCTCAAACCCTTATTTGGGCCCAAATCCTGAGCCTCTGGCACTGCCCTATCCACATCTCAGGTGAGTCTGGGGCGGGATGGTAATGGGGTCCCTCTGTTTGGGCTTCAGTTTCCCATGGTGTAGAAGGGCCACGAACCCAGCACACCACCCTGGGGAGAGCACAGGGGAGGCCGTGCCTTGGTGCTGGCCAGCATGGGGTGGCAAACCCTGTCAGGCCCCAGGCCTGGGGAGGTGACGGGTGGTTGGGTGAGTCCCATTCCTGGTGGGTGCTCAGGGCTGTGTCGTCCCTCCCAGCCCCTACCTCGGAGCAATGGGACGGCCCCGGGCCCTGCTGGCTGCGCTCTGGGCTCTGGGGGCTGCCGGGGCAGCAGCGCTGCGCATCGGAGCCTTCAACATCCAAAGCTTCGGTGACAGCAAAGTGCTGGACTCGGACTGTGGCAGCGTCATCGCACAGGTGAGCGGGGCCTGGGGGGGCTGCTGCCTCTGGGCTCTGCGGGTGCAATCTGCCGTGCGTGACCCCGCCTCCCCTCTCCCCCTCCCCCAGATCTTGGCAGGCTATGACATCACGCTCGTGCAGGAGGTGCGAGACCCGGACCTGAGCGCAGTGACCGCGCTCATGGAGCAGATCAACAGGTGCGGCGGGCAGGGCTCAGCGGGGAGCTCCGGCGGCGTCCTAGGCCTCGGAGCGGTGCTGACTCGGGGCTTGGTCCTATCTCCGCAGCGTGTCTAAGTACCAGTACAGCTACGTGAGCAGCGAGCCCCTGGGGCGGGATCAGTACAAGGAAATGTACCTGTTCGTTTACAGGTGAGAGGAGGGTCGCAGCGTGTAGGGTAGGAGGCTGCTGGCTTAGCGCACCCACCCGCCCTTCGCCCGCAGGGAGGATGCGGTGTCGGTGGTAGACACGTACCAGTACCCGGACCCGGAGGACGCCTTCAGTCGTGAACCTTTCGTGGTCAAATTTTCAGCTCCCGGCTCCGGTGAGGCCCCGCCCCCGCCGCAGCCCCGCCCCCTGCAGGCCCCGCCCCGCCTGACACCCGCCTCTCCCACAGCCGCCAAGGAGCTGGTGCTGGTGCCGCTGCACGCCGCGCCGCACCACGCGGTGGCGGAGATCGATGCCCTCTACGACGTGTACCTGGACATCATCGACAAGTGGGGCAGCGACGTAAGCCCGCGCCGCACAGCCCTGGGTCCCCGGAGGCAGGCCCGCACAGCCCTGGGTCTCCTGGAGGCCCGGGCTGGCTGACCCTGGTCCCCCGCAGGACATGCTGTTTCTGGGCGACTTCAACGCGGACTGCAGCTACGTGAAGGAGCACGACTGGGCGGACATCCGCCTGCGCAGCAGCGAGGTGTTCAAGTGGCTCATCCCGGACAGCGCGGACACCACCGTGGGCAACTCGGACTGCGCCTACGACCGCATCGTGGTCTGTGGTGCCCACCTGCGCAAGAGCCTGAAGCCCCACTCGGCCACGGTGCACAACTTCCAGGAGGCATTTGGCCTGGACCAGACTCAGGTGAGTGCTGAGCTCCATGGGGCGGGGATGTCCCCAGGCTGCTCTGCACTGGCAGACAGGCCCAGGCTCAGCCTCAGGGCACCTGGCGACCCCCTCCCTGCCCTGGTTTCTGGAAAAGGCCCCTGCAGGGTCAGTTCTGACTGAATGGGACAAGCCTGGGAGGGCAGAATAAGATGCCTTTGCCTCTCCCAGAGGTAGGGTCTGAGTCTGTGCCCACTCCCCGCTTGCAGGCAACAGCAGGGACGCATAGCCCAGGCCTCACTGGCCTGCTCCCCCAGATGCAGTGGTTTTCTACAAACCCAGTGGGCTTCATCCTAGGTGGGGGCTGCTTCTCTGAGGTGAAGCCTCGGGAAGGACAGGCTGCCCAGCAGGGCCACTGAGACTTGGCCCCTCTCCCTCCAGGCCCTTGCCATCAGTGACCACTTTCCTGTGGAGGTGACTCTCAAGTCCCACTGACAGCTCCGAGGACTGGCCAGGGCATGCTGCCGCAGACTGGCTGAAGAACAGCTCCACGGGACTCCTTTAAGGTGCCCTCAGCAAGGCTGCAGGGCAGGGTGAGCTGGGCCCGGACAGGTGGCCATTGACATGTTACTGGGACACTGAGCCTACCTCCTACCTGTAAATGGCCTACCACTACCTACCTCACAAGGTGTGAGAAGCAACCGGGAGCACTGAGTGTGGCTCTGCTCAATAAACAAGAGCTCAGCTAGGACCACAATCAGGTCAGCTTAGAGGCCTTCGTGTCTTCTTAGGATTGTCTCCCGGCAGCCCAGCAGGTTCTTTAGGGCAGCGATCGCCAACCTATTGGGCCTCATGGACCAGCGGCTGGCGGCCGCTGCTTAGGAGACAGGCTGTCTGGCTGCCCATTCCACATCCTGCCGGGAACGGCGCCCTTCCCTGGTAGGTTCTCCTCAGGAGCCCCGCGCGGGGCGAGGACTGGTCCAGGAGGACATGGCCCGAATCCCAGGTAAACCCATCACCGGAGGATCGGGAACAAGCAGAGCTGGAGTACACAGCATAACTGACAGGCGCCTGATGAGCTTTCTGGTTTTCGGCAGGATTTGATAACTGTCTCGAATTGTATGGTGGGAGGAAAAGCCTTTTTGTCAATAGGTTTTTCTGGACAAGTCTTTAAAATTCAGATCTAGGACACTTGCAACATAGAATGCCTCTCAAATAATGCCTCTCTTGACCCTTGAAGTTCCCTGATTTCTTTGAACTGTCATACATTCCCTCCATCTAAATGAACAAATGTGGTAGCCAAAGGGTTTTTCTCGGGGCGGGGGAGTGTGGGAGGAGAGGGGAGGTATCTTGTGTGGATCATCAGGACCCATGTCTCTCTTATGCTTCTAGCAATCAGGCAGCCGAGAGGCCAGGGATAGGACAACCTGAGAACTTAGTGACAAGTCTTTTTTAACTCAACTGAGGACATTTTCCCCATTAATTTTTAGAGAGGGTGGAAAGGAGGGAGAGAGAAACCTTGATGTGTCCCTCCCACATTGATCCATTGCCTTCTACACACGCCAGGGACTGGGAATTGAACCCGTGACCATTTGTGTACGGGCCAACACTCTAACCACTGAAACACACTTGCCAGGGCTTTAGTCACAATTCTTTGGAAAGGAGGAACTCAGTGGTGACACTGCCCAGGTCCAGAATAGTTCCGCCTGTCAGTTCACAATTCCCAAATCCAGATACTGCCCGCCAAGCCCACTCTGCCCACCTGCCAGGCAGAAAATGCACTCATGTAAGGTGGTGGTGGGTCTTCGGCCCTGGCTACAAGGAACAGGCCCTCCTAGTGAGATCAGCAAAACAAAGAGCTGGAAGGATTTTTAGGTCGGAAAATAGCTTGTTTAAAGCCCCTTGAGACCAGAGCTCCCTGGAAGGCACGGTGCGTAAGCCTAGAACCTGTGTGGGCAGCGGCCATTAGCCTTTCTTCTGTTTGAGCTTTTCTAGGTAAATCTGCAAGGACTTCTGAATAGAGTCTCTGGAGACAAAACTGACAAAGTTCTTGATGTCATCATCACGCTGTTTCACCAAGCGGTCCACAGTGGGCTTTCGCATCATGTTCTTGGTCAGCTGTCGAGCGTGATCTAAAGATAACAGGGTCCATGTGTGAAAAATAATTCCCAACCTTCCTGAGAGTTCCAACACAAACTTTGTATAAACTGCCTTTTTAGCCCAACCAGTGTGGCTCAGTGGTTAAGCTTCAATCTACAAACCAAGTCACAGCAAATGCCCCAGTTTCAGGTACAATCCCCAATTGGGTTTGTGCAGGAGACAGCCTATCAGTGATTTTTTTTTTTTTATCATCATTGATGTTTCCATGACTCTCTCCCTCTCCCTTCCTGTCTCTGAAATCAATAAAAAAATAATTTGCATTTTTAGCCTATTTATTTTCACTCAACTATATTATTGAGAAGATCTTCCTTTTATTAAAGATTTTTTATTTTCATTTTTTTATTTTTAGAGGGAAAAGAGAGAGAAACATCAATGTGAGACTGCCTCATGCATGCCCTCAACTGGGGATCTAGCGGGCAACCTGGGCATGTACCCTAACCGGGAATCAAACCAGCAATCTTTTTATTTTTTTTAACATTTAAAAATATATATATATTTTAATTGATTTTTTTTACAGAAAGAAAGAGAGAGGGATAGTGAGTTAGAAACATTGATGAGCCAAAACCGGTTTGGCTCAGTGGTAGAGCGTCGGTCTGCGGACTGAAAGGTCCCGGGTTCGATTCCGGTCAAGGGCATGTACCTTGGTTGCAGGCACATCCCCGGTACGGGGTGTGCAAGAGGCAGCTGGTCGATGTTTCTCTCTCATCGACATTTCTAGCTCTCTATCTCTCTCCCTTCCTCTCTGTAAAAAAATCAATAAAATATATATTAAAAAAAAAAAAAAAAAAAAAGAGACATTGATGAGAGAGAATCATTGATCAGCTGCCTCTTGCACACCCCCCACTGGGGATATGCCTGCAACTAAGGTACATGCCCTTGACCAGAATCGAATCTGGGACCCTTCAGTCCACAGACCAACACTCTATCCACTGAGCCAAACCAGCAACCTTTTAATGCATGGGATGAAGTCCAACCAACTACGTCACACCTGCCAGGACTTATCAAGAATATTTTCCAAGTCACTCAATATCCTATCCTAGGTAACAGCTGCACAATATTCGGTCATCCCATGGCTGAGCTGAGAATTTTTACATTTTTATATAGTATTGAAATACTAGAGGACCAGTGCATGAAATTCGCGCACTCTAAAGGGGAGGTCCCTCAGCCCGGCCTGTGTCCTCTCACAGTTCAGGACCCTTGGGGAATGTCTGACCAAAGGCTTAGGCCCACTCCCTAGAGTAGGGGTGTCGAACTCAATCAGAGAAGGGGCCAAAATCTAAAATCCAGCCTAAATCGCGGGCCGAATGGTTTACTGAACAGTCATAAACTGTCATTGTGATGGAAACGTGCAGTGATGACAGCGCGGTGCGGGCCACATCGCAAGGCCTGGCGGGACGGATTTGGCCCGAGGGCCTTGTGTTTGACACATGTGCCCTATAGGATGGCCTACCAGGGGTCTTCAAACTACGGCCCGCGGGAGTCTGATCCGGCCCGCCAGGTTTTTTGGGCAGTGAGCGCAGCCGAGGTGTTACAGTAGGAATTAGTAGTTCATATACTCCGGCCCTCCAGCTCTCTGAGGGACCGTGATCTGGCCCCCACTTTAAAAAGTTTGAGGACCCCTGGAAGCCCTCGGTTGGACATCTTTAGCACTGCTGCAGAGGTGGGAGTGGCTCCTGCTATAGCTCTGCCCTCGCCAGCTGTGAGCCCTGCTTCTGGCTGAGCAGCGCTCCCCGTGGGAGGCACTGACCACCAGGGGGCAGCTCCTGTGTCGAGCATCTGCCCCCTGGAGGTGAGTGCACATCAGGTCACTCCACTGTTCGGTCAATTTGCATGTTAGCCTTTTATTACATCAGATAGTTGAACCACAAAAAGGGTAGTATGTTGCGATGTGAAATTACATGAAATAAAATTTCAGTGGCCCTAAGTTTTATCAGAACATCAACATGCTCATTAGTTCACATACTCTCTGTGGCTGCCTTTGTGCCACAGTGTGAGAGACTGACCACAAAGCCAGAAACCCACCTGGCTCTGTCATGGTCTGCTGACCCAGGTCCCTATGTAGCTGACGTAACCTGCCCTGTTTCTATAGATAAGACAAACAGGATGTAAGTCCTCACCACCCTTCTAGAACCAATGCATGTGGCCTTATTTGGAAAAGGGTCTTTGCAGATGCAATTAAGATGAGGTCCTTCTAAAGACAGGAAAGGGAGATTTGGAATAAAGGAGATCATGGGAAGATGGAATTAAAGATTGGAGTGATGAGGCCACAAACCAAAGAATGTCTGGAGCCACCAGAAACTGAGAGGAAGAAAGGAGCCCCCCCCCTAGAATATCTGGAGTGACTGTGGCCCTATTTACAACTTGGTTCTGGACTTCTGGTCTCCACTCTGCAAGAACACGTTTGTTTTAAGCACAAATGATCCACCTGTGACCATTAGTTGTAGTGAGCCCAGGGCACTAAGCAGTCTGCATGTGTCCTTTCACATGAGAACCTCCTGGTCTCACCAGGAGGGTCGGGCTGGGCGGGGAAGGGGGCTTTGCTTGCTCAGCAGTGCCCACAGTGGCTGCCCATCCCTGTGCTCCTCACCTGGAATGGCCATCCACTTGGCCATCACCGAGAGCACTGTGCTCTGCACCTGGTCCTCAGGCACCACCTTGTCCACGATGCCAACCTGGAGGGCCTTTGCCGGCGGGAAGAGCAACCCCAGCTGCAGGGCACGCTCTGCGGCACGGTGCCCAATGGTGTTCACAAGGGTGTCTTTGAACCTGGAATGCAGACACCCACTCACCTGGGGCTGGGGGCTCCCCGGAGGGTTGGTTCATCCCTGGGCCAAGTGGAAAATGGGTGCAGTTCCTGGCCTTACCAGAAAGGGGCGACGATGCCCAGCAGGGTTTCATTCAGCCCAATGGCATATCTGGGATTGTCAGCCAGGACCCGGTAGTCACAGGTAAGGGACATCAGGCAGCCTCCAGCAGGGCTGGCTCCCTGCAGGGGAGGCAAGACCAGTGGGCTCCGGGTGCTGCATTGCTGGTCCCAATAGTATTCCAGAGAGCCAGGGTCCCGAGGAATGCCCGCAGGGTGTGAGCTCTCACACCCACCTAACCCTGCCACCCTCCCTCCACCAGCTCGGGCTCTCCTGGCACCTTACCCTGGTTGTCACCACATCTCTTCAGGGCACTAGTTCTGGAGCATTAGCTTCAGCACCTTACCTTACCGGTCTGTCCCTGCCTTCCCCAGGTCAGGCCAAATGATGTTTTCAAAATGTGGATCCAATTGCCCACTTGCTCCCCACATAGCCCTTGGATCCTGGGCCTTGCCCCCACCCCAGTGAGTGAGTTGACCCTGTGGCCCCTACCTTGTTTGTCACATGTCACAGTGATCTGTAATGGCATGCTTACCTGTGCACATCTCTCCCCAAGGCACCCTTCCCCTCTGAGGGCTTCCCGAGGGCAGGGCCACATCTGCATTCCCCCCTAACCACCCCCGCACCCCAGCCTCCAGGGAGTCAGCAAGGCCAGTGGAGAGTGGGAACACTCACATTGATGGCGGCAATCAGCACCAGATTGGACATGTAGAGCCGCAACCACATCTCCTGCACAGCCTT